CGTGTGTGTATGTGTGCCCAAGATCCTGAGAGGAGAATGGAGGAGAAGGGATTGCAGCGCGGCCACCCCCTTGGGGGGTGATTTCTCACTATCTGTCTCCTTGGTGAGTGCACGTGCCGTATAGCAAAAACTTCTTACAAAATATTCAAGGTTATTTAAAACCTTTTTGTTTTTAGAGCTTTTGCTGTAGGGTACATATTCTCACTAGAGAAAGAGACAAAGACAGTGAGAGGGAAAGTGAGAAAGTACCCCCTTAGGGGGAATGGCCATGTTGCAATCCCTTCTCCTCCATTCTCCTTCCAGGATCTTGGGCATGTGTGCCCAAGTGCCCAGCATGAGTTTCAAGCCACCAGGTCCAAGACTCAAACTGTGATCAGCTATGTGGGAGTCCAGCTTTTCTATGTAGGGCCAGCAGGTGATGGTTAAGGCACTGGACTCCCACATGACTGACCACAGTTCAAGTCCTGACTGGGAGGCTTGCTTTCTCACTTTCTCTCTCTCTAGTGAGTGCATATGTCCTATAGCAAATTTAAAAAGTTAAAGAAATAACTCTTTAAAAACAAAAACAAAAGGGGGACACTGTAAGAAAAGAAATTAAGGAGGAAAATAGAGAGGCAGGACATTTATGGGACATAGAAATGAGTTATTTTCTGTTAACAATAATGCTTTATGTATCCTCAACTGGAGTGGTGTGAAGTATATTCATGTTGGGTAAATTCAACTTACAAGCAAAGTGATATATAGTGATCAAATGTATAAAGTAAAATAAAAATAAATAAAAAACCAAAAAAACCAAAACCAACTCTGTTTGCTTTCTTTCTTATTTATTTAATTTTATTTATTCACTCATTTATTTATTTTAATTTGACTAGAGAGAGACACACATACACAGAGAGAAGGAAAATGAGGAAGTAAGCCACCAGGTCCAGGACTCAAACCATGGTCAGTCATGTGGGAGTGTCCAGCGCCTCAACCACCACGCCATCTGCTGGTCCCTCTGATTGCTTTCTAGCAGAGCCAGAGTTGAGAAGTAAACATCTAAGGGCAAATCTCTACAACTTCTTTAAAAGAGGTAAAAAAAAAAAAGGTATAAAGAACTTTTAAAGAGATTATGAGATCTTTTTTTCTATGCGTATATGCATATACACACACACACACATATATATATATATGCACACATGTCATATGTTATATGTTATGTGTCTACATGGTAAAAGACCTTGATTTGGCTTATAAATGAGCGCACTCATATCAATTAATTTAAATGTTTTTTAAGTTCATGTGATATGAATAAATTTTTGACATATAAGCTAGCTTCAAATATGATAAAAGGAAAAGTTAATAAATGAAGATTTTCATGGTTTCCAACATACATTTTTGTCTAAGGGTTTTTTGATCAGGCTACAACTTATTTGTCTTAATTTGGTTAGTTTAATAAAACAGCAGGTATTTATATATTGTATGTTGAATGGTAGATGATGGATATCTGACTAACAGAGAAAATGGATTAATTAATAGCTTTTTCTAATATCTTGGTTTTCACAGGTAATCAAGGCAAAACATTTAAAAAGTTTTTTTTTAAACTTTTAAAAAGAATTATTTATTTAATTTATTATTATTATTAAATTTTCTATTATTATTATTAAATTTTCACATGTACTCGCCAAAGAGAAAGAGAGAGAGAGAGAGAGAGAGAGAGAGCAAGCAAGCCACCAGGTCCTGGACTCAAACTGCAGTCGGCCAAGTGGGACCACCATGACATCTGGTGGCCTATAAAAAAAGGGTTGTAAATGCTTACAAATGGGGTATATTATATATAAGAAAGATTTTCAGATAAGCTAAGACCTTAAAGTTGTGTTTAACTGAAATGATAAACACTCATAAAATGTCTAAGTCATCTTTAAATAAGTGAACATACTTTAAGTAATATAAAGTTTAAGTATTTCTACTGTTGGTCTTTTAAATTTTACAAAAATGAAAGATATTGGGTTTATTAATAAGATTGCTCTGTTCTACACTGAAAATTTGTTGAACAGTTTTGTTGTTCACATGTTTCTAAGCTACTGGTATGTGCTAAAAGCTAAGGTTGCTAAGAGCTAGAAGTTTTGATTAACACACATAGTCTTACAAGATTACAGGTTTAAGGGTCCCCTCCAAAAGTGCCATATTCCCCAGGGGAAAGATAAACATGGGGATTTACTAAAATCTCTTCAGAGGCCCTGTCATTGGAGGTTCTCATTAGAAAAATTTCTTTAACACTTTTGTTTACCAAGTAGTAAAAGGTCAATTTAGATTGGCCAGCCACCCCCACGTGGGAAAGACATTCAGGCAGCCCTAAAATGATGGTCCCAGGACTAACTTTAGTTAGGCCTCAGTATTGAAAACAGGAGGTAAAGGATTCCTGTCCAAGGCCCTGACAGGGCAAGGATCAGAACACAGGGTAAAACGGATTAAGGCCAGAGGTCCTGGTTGTCCTCTCCCATCTTGCCTTTCAACACTTCCTCTGTTTTCCATTAAACTTCCTCCACTTGGGACTTTTCCCTTGGCTACAGTCTCAGGAGCTAGGACAAGTTTAGCACCCAGACCTTACTTATGGCTTGGCCTCAGTACAAGTTAGAGGATCAGGAGGTTTAGCCATAAAAATAAAAGCTGAATCTATGACTGTAATCTCCAGCTAAAGCTCTTCTATAACTGACAAGACAGATCCTTTGTAAAACTTAACCAACTGGTTGTACTCAGCTGTTCCTTATGGAAGACAAACAAAACCCACTGGAGCATGAGTCTTCTTAATGCAAAATCTCCCTCATAGATTAGAGCAGATTTAGAAAAATTCTCAGATGACTCGGGAGAGTGCTGTAACACATTGACAATTTACCTTAACCTTTAATGTAACTTTAACTTAAAGAGCATCTAAGTCACTCAGGGTAATCCTGAAGGGTAGGAACTTAAGTTTCACCTGAGGGCAGAAGCTGGAAAGTTCAGATCAGATTCTCTGCTTTGGGAAAATGCTGGATGCTTCTAATGTGGAAAGTCTGAGCATTGGAAAGGATAATGCTCACGACTGACATCCTCATGTTCCCCACTGGGGCCTTGTCCTCAACGTGGAGGAGCCGGCCACTAGAGACAGGAATGCTCTAAAGGGAGCCTTGGGCCTTTGAATCCATGATGACCTCTGAAATTGAGGACTGATGGAGCTTGAGGCCCCAGGGGCTCCTCTTGGTCATCTGGAAATCTCACTAGTCAAACCTCGGGTAACCCTTGAAGTGACAAATAAAAACATGTTATTTAAGATAAAAATTTTTGTCTAAATCATAGGTTAAAGGTTATTTCCAAAGTAAATTTATGAAAAGAGAAAAACAAAAATAGTAGTAAACAGGAGAGACATAGAAACTTGTAACTATAAAGATGTATTTTGATATAAAAGGTTGTAAAGAAAGGTTTTAATATAGATGGAAATTTGTGTGGTTAAGTTTTTATCTTGAGGTAAAATGGCTAAATTATCTGAATATGAAAGAGAGGGAAAAAGGGACAAAAACCGAAGCTCTAACGGTGTTCTTAACAATTTGAGTTATGTTAAAAGAGACTAAAAAAGAGTTACAAGGATTAATAAAATTAAAGTTTTTGTTGATAAACGTTCTAAAACTGATTATACTGTTGTAATGATGTCAGTCACATGTCTGGTAGTTATCTTTAAATACTATATACAGGACTAGCAGTTAGTGTAATGGCTATGTCACTGGACTCCCATGTAGTCAACTGTGGTTCAAGTCCTGGACCTGGCGACTTAAAACTCATGCCTGGCGTGTGTGGGTGTGCGTGCCCAAGATCGCAAGAGGAGAATGGAGGAGAAGAGATTGCGGTGTGGCCATCCCCCCCTGGGGGGTGATTTCTCACTTTCTGTCTCTCTGTCTCTGTCTGGCGAGCGGCTGCGCCCTATAGCAAAAACCTCTAAAAAAATTGCTATATACAGTAAAAACAACTCAACTTCTCTGTTATAATTTCTTTCAGTTTCGTCATTCACAGCTTCAAGATTGCTTCTCTTGGAAAAGGCTCTAACAAGTACCTAAACACAGGTTTCTGACAGCTAAAGGAAAAATGGCGATGCTATAAGACTCTCCTCAAAAAGGCCGCAAAAGTCTAAAATCTAGGATCTACCTCATAGAACACTAAAAACGGGCTTTTAACTCTCCTATCACCACTAGCCACTAGTGGGCCCACTTCTAATGACCATCCTAGTTATTAATATTGGACCCTCTTTGTTTTGAGATCTTGCTAAGCTTGTTACCAACCAAATACGATCTACCTTTGTGTTGCAACAATGTCAGTCTTTCTTCTCCAGATGCAGCCACCAGTTTTCGGTGATTTATAATGACTTCCCAGGGATCTCTGTGTAATCTTGGGGCTGAACTGACAGAGCAAGGACTGACACTCTGACTTCCCTCTCTTCCACCCAATTTCAGCTGGAAGTAGCGACAGAAATGAGATCTTCTGGTCCATTTTCCCTGAGTGAATTTAGTCTCAAATCCTTGAGGAGGAAATGTGGTAGGTTGCCAGACAAGAATTAGCAGGCAGCCCTAAGATAATAGCAGAAGGACATTTGCCACGTCAGTCACAGCTTATCAGGAGCTTCAACTAGACCCTCTGTGAGAACACCCTCTTCCCACCTGGCTCCTGGCACCAAGAGAGGAAGTTAACTCACTGGGATGCTAGATCAACATTCTAATTGTCACTGGAGGAATAAACTAAGGAGGGCAGGTCATCCAAGTATGGAGACTCATATCTTCAAAGTCCATACTGGGCATGCATGCTTAAATATCCATTGAGCTCAAGCCCAGATGGAGTGCTTTGACCCAGGGCTGAGGGTCTGTGTGTGGGTGAGTGGGGTAGGGCCTTTGTGTCAGGTGAACAGGAGAGTGACATTCAGTTGGGGTGAGTGCAATCTGAGCTTCTCCAATTGCAGCTTAAGCCACAGGTTTGAAGCTTCTTGAGCAACAGAATGCTGCCCAGCAATTGCCTCAGAGAAATCATATTTCTTCACCCAAGGTCAAAGGTGAAACCTGGGCTGCCTTATAAAGACTTCCTTGGCTCACTGCCTTGACAGTGCTGGCTTCTTGCTTGTTCCATACACGTGTGCATTGAGAGGTAAGTGCTCTTTCCTTGGATGGTTTCTCAAATGGTAATTGCAAGTGGTCACTTTGCAGTCACAGGGTGTTGAAAGCTACAACCCTCTGCAGACCCTCCTTGCATTTTTTGATCCAAGTAGACCAGCCTTTTCTGTGCTAGGTAACTCAAGCCTTAGGACTTAGAGATGGCTAAGCAGCAGTGGGAGAGAGTAAGGGTTGTGTGGTAGAAGTATGAGTGTTTGGGGAAGGCTGACAGTCTGGCCAATCACAGAACTCTTTGTGGGTGAGCTTAGGTGAGAAGTATCTTCTGAGTTACCCTCTCTGATAGATGAGGTGGTGTAAAACTTCATGGGCAATTGGGTCTGATTCTTTTAGATTTTTAGACAGTATTACAAATCCTTCTCTTTCCCATTCAACCACAAATGACAAATTCATCCTGGATCAAATGCAGAGCAGAGGGAGCACAAAGCAGATTTGGAGATTGTGCTTTCTCTACACCTTGATACAGAGAGGGAGAGTGGACGTTGGAAGGTGGGGGAGGGAACTGCTACTAGACATCTCTTATCTCCTTGAAGATTAACGTGAGGCTGGGAAGATGAGCAAGATGGAAGATCACATGGAGGGAATCATCAATATCTTCCACCAGTACTCAGTTCGAGTGGGGGATTTTGATACCCTCTCCAAGGGAGAGCTGAAGAGGCTGATAACAAAGGAACTTCCAAACACCCTCAAGGTAGTTGATACCCCTCACATCGCACCCCCAGCCCCTTGCACTGAGGGGGAGTGGCGAGGCCTGAAGGAGGATGGTGGAATAAAGACTGGGGTAGGGTGGGCCCTGGTTCGAGCTCCCAAGGATGCTCTCCTTCTGCTGTGGGTTAGGACCTCTGCTTCCTCTCGTGGTAAGTCACTGTATTATCTTCAGGTCTCCCATAGTTTCCTCATACGTAAATGAGAGAAGCAGGGGAAGGAGTGCTAAATTGAGTATAGGGAAACTTCCAGGTCAAGTCTTGTATGTTTCCATGATGGCTTAAGGTGGTTGCATCCTGTTTTGTCACACTGGATTCTCCAATACAATACTGACTGATGAGTTAATGTTCCTGGACCTCCCTAAGCCAGACTCTGAGAGATGAGGCCTGGGAAAGGGGTGGAAGGGTCTCATGTTGATATTCTGAACTCAAAGACTCTGCTATCTCTTTCTCCTAGAACACCAAAGATAAAGCTGCCATTGATAAATTATTCCAAGATCTGGATGCTGATAAAGATGGACAGCTCTCTTTTGATGAGTTCATGGTACTAGTGATTTCTGCGCTGAAAACTGTCCATAAAGAAATCCACCAGCCATAAGAAGCTGAGGGCCTTTCCCAGCAGTATCCCCAAGATGGCCTTTCTTTTCTCTCACCAAAGCCCAGCCTTGTCTGAGGGCAGGGGGAATTAATAAATGTGCTTATAAAAAGTTCTTAACAGTGTTGTGCATTTCTTTCATGTCCATGCCCATGGTCCTGAAACTTGATCACGCCTCATTCATTCACCAAGTATCTATTGATCGTCTACTATGTATTTGTTCATTCAATAAATGTTCATGCAGAACATATGACAGCCAGAGACAAAACCAACAAAGTTGTTTTCCTCTTGGAGCTTACACACTATGGGGGAGGGGATAAAAATAAATGAATAAGCAAACAAATAAAAATGCAACATATGCCACACTGGTAGGTGATTGTAAGTGAGGGAAGCAGGAGGGTTGGGGTGAAAGGGGAAAGAG